CCGAGCGCGAGAGCCGGACAGCCAGGCCCGACAGAGCCGCTGCCATATAGACCCGCGCCTGCTGCCAGCCTGCCGCCCACCGACCAGCTGCGGACTCTAGCCGCCCGGCACTCGAAACACCACCTGTCCGCCCTCCCGCGCGCTCTAACAGTCACTGCCGTGTCCCCTGGGCCTCCGCCCGGGCTGCTGGCCTGCGCTCCGGCGACGAGGCCAGGGGGTGGGCAGGCCAGCGCGGGGGTTTAATGTCTTTTTAAAAATCACTCTTGGGCTTTGAAAGCATTGAGAATATAATATGAAATTATGACATTTTTGCCTAAATCATTTTCTCTAGTTTTAAAATATAAGTTTTGCCATATTGGGATTCCTAAAGAAAATGAATTGGTAAATTTAAAATATTTTCAAGTCTGATGATTATCCTGAACCAAATATTAGGATTAGCTCAGTTGTATCAATTGGGCTGCCATGGTGCTTTGGCTCTATTTTGTGACCTAGAATGCTTTCTTGAAAATAACATGGAATTGTTTTTAAGGTGGTGTGCATATGAAAGGTAATATCAAAATAATTCAGAACAAAGTTTGAAATAATGATTGTGCATTGGAGTAGTAGTCTTTTGTGGTATAAGGATAGCATTTTATCAAAGTGGAAGAGTGAAAATCCAGAGTGTCCTAAAGTTCAGGGATATAGCTTTAATAGGCCAGGAGCTTGGTTTTAGATTTCAAAGGGAGATGTCAGGTAGCAGTAGATACTGCAGACTTGGGGTAGAGGAGCGCTCTGGTTTAGCAGAAGGCAGAGTAAACGGATCTGGGAAACTCAGCTGGAAAGCCAGGTAAGACAAAGGATCCTCATGGTGGTGAGGGCTTAAAGTGAGACCAATGAGCAATGGCTTTCATACAATTTTATTTGACCCAAACTGACAACACTTGCCAGGAAGCAAGATCTCAAATGCTCCAGAGCATGAGTTTTGCAGTTTGTTTTTGTTTGTTTATTTGTTTGTTTGTTTGTTTTTTAAAAGATTTTATTGTGGAAGGGAAACATGTTGTTTTTCCAGGACCTATCAGCTCCAAATCCAATCGCTGCTTTCAATCTAGTTTCAGGAGGGCGTAGTCCACCATCCCATGGGGAAGTTAAAACTGGCAACCTTGTTACACACTGAGCCACCTGGCTGCCCGTCAGCAGCTCACAGCTGTTCAGCTCAAGGTGCCATGTTCAATCTTAGTTGCAGAGGGCACAGCCCACCATCATGTGTGGGAGTCGAACCAGCAACCTTGTTAAGAGCACGCGCTCTCACCAGTTCAGCAGCAGCTCAACCTGGACGCAGCTCACTGGCCCGAGTGGGAATCGAACCAGCAACCCTGTTGTTTAGAGCTTGCGCTCTAACCATCTGAACCATTTGGCCGGCCCCTGCAGTTTCTGTTATGCATTTGGAATTGAGGAAATTTAAGGAAGATTACATAGAGGTAGGAGAAAAAGCGGGATTGGCTTGCAGGATGGTTAAGATTACATGCTGTCTGGAGGGCGGCCATTACTTATGGCATTTCAAAGGTGTGCACAGTCCTTTACTCGTCCACAGGATTGTAGGGATGTAGAGTTGGGATACTGAAAGGAATAACATAGAAATGTAGGAAGTGGTGGCTAAAGTGTGTGCTTAAAAATGAGATTTGAGGAGTTACAGTTGCTAGTGATGACACGTGTGGCCAAGGGAGTGACAAGTTCTGAAGAGGAGTTCACACAACTGTGAAGCCTGGAGTTGCTGAGGGTTGAAACCGAGAATCACAGCAGAGGTAAGTGTCGTGCCATGAGTGTTGTTTGTGTACACTATACCTGGATATACATGAATGTGCTACAGGTACTCATGAGGCCCATCCTCATGTAGGATTTTGGAAACTGAAGTGAGAACAGGAGTATTCAAAGAAAGATGCCCTAGAAATTCCGGCTCATTACAAACGTTCTTGAAATGTGAAATTCTTAGATCAGTAATTAAGCACAACTGTATATACGGTAATTCTGTAGTATTTGGGTGGCCCTTTCTGTAGTTAAAATCATTTTTTTTACTTAATATGATCATACCCAGAGCTTTAGAAGAATGCAAGAGCCTTTGAAAAGACCCTCCGTGCTGCTGACCAGTTGGGGTCGCTGCCAGCAGCCAACACAGGTGTTTTGTAACTGCGTGCATGTTAGGAAATGTCCCAAGAAGAGTGTGGGTTTCTGTTCACTACTGTAGAATCTCTAAAAGCAGAATCAGTGTACTTGCTGTTCCTAAATTATAGTATTTTTGGCCTTGAAACTGAAGCTTTTTAAAGCAGAAATTTGTAAAGGCATTTTTTCAAATTCGACATTCTTACTATTATGCAACAGCTAGAATTGGCCAGTAGTGATAGCTATTGGGGAATATGCAAAATATTCACCAATTAAAAGTAAAATAACCAGTTAAACTTTTAAGGTCTAATTGGTATTAGAAATGTCAGGTCATTAGAGATTAATTGCACTGCGTTCAGAGGAGCATCCTAGGCATTGTGGAGTCAGGAAGATATAAAACTTTCTTAACGGTGTCTACAAAGTAGTCATGCGACCATAGAGCAGTGTTTCCCAAGCGTTTTCACATCACAGCACATAAAGATGATGCTCGTAAGGCACTCCGGGAGCAATGGATGAGGCTGTTTGCCAACCGCCGAACAGAACGGGGGATCAGTATCTTGGTACACCTCAAGCCTATTTAGGAAGACGTGTCATGGATAAAAATACTTTAAGATTGTTTACAAGGTAAACTTAAAGCATAACTTACCTAACTAAGGTAGCTTTTAAAGGGATGTCGAGTCAAGGAAGGCTTCCTAGAAAGGATAAGTTGAACTCTATCTGCTTCAGCACACTAATATTTTGTAAGTATGCATGTATATAACGGTAGACAGTAAATTCTCTCATATCTCAATGAATCATCCAGTTTTTCTAGTGTAGTGCCTTCGGATAGATACACTATAGTCAAATAGCATTATTCAGCTGAAACTAAATCCGACTTGGTTGTTTCAAACACATATCACAGTATAAAACCAACACAAAGGATAAAGTTAAGTGCTCTTATAAAAGTAGAATGTAGCTAATATAATACTAAAACATTTTTATCCCTAGTTTTGGTATAATCTAAGAAAAGTNGTTATTTGGAAGACAAAAATGAGTAACATACCCTGTTGCTTGTTTGTAATGTCACAATTTCCTACCATGGTGAATATGTGTTGCTTTGTATACTGAAAATCATTTCAGGAAGTGGAAGGAGAATGTGCCTTTAATATGAAAACTTTAAAACTAAAATTGGAAAAGAAAAAAATCTGATGCTTATAACTCTTTATATTTATAGCCCTTCTCTTTCCAGATATCAAAACCTCCTTAAGAATGATGTATTACTATCCACTCTTTTTAAATTATTTGGTACTTAGTTTTCAACTGTATTTTAAGCTTCAGGCTTAGAATTCTGAAGTTGCCTCCATTATATAGGTCCTTTTTTATCAGTAGGATAAAGATTCAGTTCAATGTAGCTCATAACTGAACTTAATCTTTCGATTCTTTTGAATATTTCAGTGACTAAAAAATGAACGTCCAACATCCATCCCCCACATTCTCTCATACTGTAGCGTTAAGTTTAAATCTGGAACTTAAAATTTATTCAAATTGTTTTCCCTACCTTATTTATAGCTGCTGTTTTTATTTTTAAGGAATGGTCGTTGGAGATCAGAGTGGAAGTTTACAATTACTCCTTCAACCACTCAGGTGGTTGGCATCTTGAAAATTCAGGTATGAAATGAAAAAGAATTTGTTTATTCAAGGTGATTTTGAACAGAAAAATAGCTGATTCTTAAATTTACATTTTCATAATAGACAATAACCATATCTTTTCAGATTTTTGTTTTGAGGTAATAGGAACAGCTAGTAGTGCTGATTTCATCTTTTAAATAACTTTGTAGTTCATTCTCTATCATCAGAAATCTGGGAGGATAGCTGACAAATTCTAAAAACAGCTAAAATTCGATGCTGCCATTTGGTCTGCTCTTCATACAGTTTGCTCATGTATGCGTCTTCTGAGGCAGAGGTGTGCATTCTGTCTTAACTGGGTGGAGTTGGCCAAAGGATAGTATTAATATATGTGTGTTTAGATGTGTAAACATATGTCTTTATTATATGTATATATTAATGTATGTACATAGTACATGTCTTTTAAGTATTTCCTGTACTCATATTTGGCTTCTTAATGAAACCCATTAGAACTGAATTCTTTGACTTTTAATGTGAGTTCAAATGTTTATCTAGAAGAATATCTGATAACTAAGACTATGTATTTCAATCTAGATATTACTAAATAAGTTATAGGAAATACTAATCTCTTTCTGTCTTGGTTCACTCTTTCAATACATTTATTGATCATCTATCATGAAAGATATTGTGCAAAGAGCCATAAAAGGAATAAAGATGTCAGACACTGCTGCTCTGTCATCTGACTCCAATATTCGTTTCTAGTCTATATCCTATTACTTCTGTGTCTTGG